TACGTATCAAATAAGGTCCCCCTTCAATTTCTTTCCACTTTATTTGGCATTCGTCTTTGGGTTTTACCGATGAAAAGTATGAATACAGCAGAATGGCATCACTACTGTGAGGCCTTGAAACTTGAAAAAGACATTCATAACTTGTCATTTTTGTGATTCATTTCATGAAAAAAGATCAAATGTAATGGGAGGCAGTCGCAGTATTTCCATTGATCTTTCACCTTTCCAACAATAATTGACTTTGGTACATTCACTGCTTTTGAAAAAGCATTCTGAGGGGAGAATGCAACTTTCAATTTATATTCAGCATTCTCTGCTGAGGGACACGTAGTCTGTAAAGCTAAGGATAGAATTTATTTTTTTTTAGTTTTTCCTTTGCTATGGCCATAATTCAGACCGCCAACGTACTGAAGTTGAATCCTAATATTTTACAATTGCAAAATGCTTGTGGAGGCTCTCAGTCGTACAGGAAAGTTCCATCGTAGAAAGGGTTCTGTCAGTCGTCATCTGTACCTGTGGGTAAAAACAAAAAACAAAAAAAAAAGAGAAGCGAAACGTCTTTTTTTTTTTTTTTTTTTTTTTACCCCCAGGCACAGATGACGACTGACAGAACCCTTTCTACAATTGCAAAATGCCATCAATTCACAGTTGTTAAGGTCAGGTTTTATGATGCATTATTTTTAGTAGAATTACAAATGTTTTATATTATTAAAAGTAATTGATAGTGTAGTGTCCTGACGTGTGTGCGGGCAGCATGGGATCCATTCCCACTCAGTGACGGTGTGAATGTGGGTGTGAATGGTCGTTTGTCTCTGGATGTGCCCTGTGACTGACTGGCAACCAGTCCATGGTGTAGTCTGCCTTCTGCACCAAGTCAACTGGGACAGGCTACACCAACCTCATACGACCCTGTTCAGGATAAGCGGTGTTGAAAATGGATGGGTGGATATTATTAAAAAAGGATTTACTTTTGAGTACGTTTTCATATATTTTCCCCTAAAACATTTTCAGAAAGGTGTTATCATGAATATTTAAAAGCCAAATAGCATGGAAATAATTAAAAGCCAGGGGAGACTCTCTTATGCCTTTTTTTTATTAAACTATAAAATCTGACCAGCCATAAAGCAGGCACATTCATGCTCTGGTTTCGTTGTCTTGGAATAAATCAGCATGGGATTTCTTTAAATAAACGGTTATGCTGCATGCCATTACATTTTAATTGGTCCCAAATTATAATTAGATTCATTTCTCAATTACAAGTAAATGTTTGCCATTACTATTACAGGTATAATTGAGTCCAAATTGTATTGTTTTTTTGGGGGGACAGGAGAGTTGTGCAACCATCCCATACGCTAGTTGTTAGGAGATGAGTGTGAGGCGCAATGAAATATCGACTTCATCTATGACTAAACGGGCCTGAACGGCCCCTTTGCGTAAACTGCCTCATGCAGATTAGCTTGATGGAAACCTTTTTTGAATGGCTCATTTCTCTGAGCTGCTTCATTAAATAGTCAAAGTCAAAAGACAAGTGCCGTCCAGCACAATGGACATTTTTAAATCACATTTCATCCGACGCTTAAAAACTAAACGTTGGAAAAGTGCCGAGATGGTTCAAATGATTGTTGAGGGTAAAATTACTCTCTTTGCAGAACACTTTCATCATGTACTGCGGTTGCAAGAACAAACACCAAACTAATCCTTTGCACAGCATGGAACATATTGACAATATTGCTCAGATTTGACACCGCATATTCAATGACGAGTCGGTAGTATCATGACATGGACGAGGATGACGCTCCTGAGGGGCAATCTTTAGTTCGGTTTTATATACTGCAAGTCTGTGTAAGTCTGATGCATAAACATGAAGAGGAATTATGTAATTCTTTTTTGGAAATCAACAAAAACTATTAGAAAACCGTAGCTCATGATGCTACCCGTAAAAATATGAATAGTAGATTATAAATAAATGGTTGTGCTACGCACTACAAAAATAATGAACAAATGAGTGAGACCGCAAACTCTCAAGCCAACTAACGAATGAGTGAGTAAACAAACTAATAAAGGAGCAATTGGACTCGCATATGAATGAGCGAACGAATGAACAATAGCTCCAATTAGCAAATGAGCAAGAAATTGAAATAATGAACTCAAATGAACAACAACCAAACTAACGAATTAGTCACTAACAAAAGAATGCAAGTGACTGAAAAGGGCAAACAAGTTGAACTAACTCACTAAAGAGTAAGCGAGCCAGTAAACCAACTAACAAATGAACGGGCAAGTGAACAAACTAAACAGCAAGCACACGTGAGCAAACCCTGAAGTGAACAAACGAACGGACAAATGAACGACCTGTTGAATTAACTAATGTAAAAAAAATAAATAAATTAAAAAAAAAAAACTTCAAGCTCACCAACTAATGAACTAAAAACCTTCTTCAGCGACTATGTCTCCAACAGCTCGCTTGCTCCCGCTAAATGACAAAAACTTCCATTAGGGAAAATGACTTGTCTCAAATGTCACATTTCTTTTCTCCTCCTCAAAAAAATTCAAGACATTTTCACATTTTAGCCTATGTTATCAAGTCTAATTATTTTAACTGCCTGTCATTATTTCACATCTTTGGCTATGCAAGATAATCACAAAGTGCAATGGCGACTGCTCTCACGGAGCGTGTATCGTACAATGCTTTACGTTGCCGGCTGTTTAACATCCCAGAGGACATTTGAATATATTACATTACATTAAAGCATAACTGGAGGGTATGGAACTGATTTTCTGCATTGAGCGGGGGGAAAAAAAATACATTTTAAAAATGAATAAATTTAAAATGTAAAACATGCAGTCTATTTGACGACTTGCGTCTGGGGCAAATATTTACAAAATTGGGTTGAAAAGCAATTCATTTTAGAGTTTTCAACATTATCAAAAAGCTCCATCCACATGCAATGACAACAATTTAAATCTTTCACAAGTTAGATTTGTCACGTTTGCGTGGTGGTGGTGGACCCCAAAAAGCAGGCAGGAGGGAGGAGCAGGGTGGACTTGAACAATTCTATTAAAACATAGAGAAAACTAAATCCAAAGCAAACAAAGTCCAAAGTACCAAACAAAACAAATGACTGAAGATAAAACATAACAATGACCAAAACATGACTGAAACAAACATGACAGGAGCCAACAGCAACAAACAAACAATGACCCAACAATGAGTGCTCGGACTGGGAGTCCTTTTAAAGCACTAATTACATAATGACCAACAGGTGTGCAGCTGCAGAGAGAGCCCTACAGTGCCACCTGTTGGTCCCAAAACGAATCATGACAAGATTCATCCATCTGCCTAGAGTAAGACGTTGGACATGGGTAGCAATCAAACAAAATCCTGTGTTTGTTTCTGAAAACCTCGTAAAAGCCAAAATGACCCTAAAATGGCCACGACAAACCAAAATGACAGACTGCATGTGACCTTTCAGCAGAGGTGAGAGTAAGTCACATATGTCTAAAGTCGTAACCTTTAAGTCTCAAGCAAGTCCCAAGTCACTGAGGGAAGAAAAAAAAAAAAAATCACGCAAGTCCAGTCGAGTCGCCAACAAATTTCAAGCAAGTCAGGTCATTACGGCAATTAAGCCAAAGGGAAGTCAAGTCATAAAACCTTGCTCAGTCACAACATAAGTTTGAGTGATAGTTTTGTTTTTTTTTCAACTAACCATACCACACAAATCTAAAAATTAAATTCACATTTACACCTCTAGAAATGAAATGAAAAACAACTCAAATTATTTAGAAGAATGCAAGTATTTTTTTTTTCATACTGTTTACATGAGTGGCACACTGTTAATGTGGTGATAAATACTTAAATATGTTGAATGAGGGTGTAAACGTGTAATCATCAGGTTAAAACAAAATTACATACGTGTTATTTCTGGTGCCAATCTGTTACAAAGATCTAATTAGTGTGTGGGTGGGTGAATGAAAGGCATTAAGTTTGTGCATTTGCTAAGGTGTCATATTTTTGAAGTTGACAGGCATTCGCTTTGTGGGAGCGCTGCCGCATCAAATATGGCAGACACGCTCGCGAGCAGAAAAGGATTCTATGTATAGACTATATTTACATCTCTTTGTTGATGTCTAAGATTAAATAACAACTGGTGCTTTGAATGGAGTTGTAGGTTCAAGATTATGGTCTCCATGGTGTCAAACCTATCACTTCAATGGCTTCTAAATTAAATACAGAAACGCCATGACGTATTTGACCAGCGTTTGGTGAGCTAAATTGTTGAGCTAACCTAGCAAGCTTAGGTACACAGAGCCATTTTACATGTGTTTGACAGATGACAGGAAACGTAGATGTTGTCTCTTATCGACAAGTTTCAAACCTTGCAGATGTTGTCTTTATGTCAGTTACATCAAAACAACACTGCTTGAATACAAATGTCTGACTCATGGTAGCATGGAGTGTACCGGTACATCCTTTTCGGAAGAGAAAAACAATCATTCCCATTCCATAGACAAGTTGGAGTCTTCAATGAAGCTAACATTTGCAATGTGAGAGAAAGCCGGAGGACAAACAAGGAAAAGCCATATATTCATATTAATTAAAAACAAAAGACAAATCAACAGCAGCCTCAATTTGCCCCAATGCAGTCTCAGGTTTCCACCGTGATCGCATTTGCACTTCAAACCATCTCATCAAGCACAGTTGCCTTGTGTGTGCCTACTCAACCTCGCAACAATTCGCACCTCCCTGTTCCCCCCCAACACCCCCCACCCGCTCAAAGCCATCTTTGATTACACGCTCGCCGCAGGGTGAACTTTATCCAACTCCTCTCCTTAATGCTGAAAAAACAACCAGGTGACGCCGTCGGAAGGACACTCTCGTTTGTTCCTTCTCCCGCCATCTGCATTGCCCTTTCTATCCCACCAATCATCCGGGAGGGGGGTGAAGCCCCGCCCACTGCAGCTGCAGCCACCCACCAATAAGCATCGAGTATCTGACTCACCCATCTCGTTGTCTGACTTATTGTCCATTTCTGTGTCGGTGAGCGTCAGCGCCGAGTTGGAGCGACTGGAAAGGCAGGAGCTGCGGCCCCCCTTGCTCCATAGGGCAATGGTACGTTCCGGGGACTGGGGTTCGTGCCCCTCCGAGGTGACGGCAGCCCCCCGGGCGTAGGTGCTGAGGGGATGGGACAGGCCCTTGTCGGGGCACAGCGCCAGGCCTCGGCGAGGCTCGCAAATGCCGAGCTGCCTCAGCGAGAACGTCTGCCCTGCGGAAGGGAAGCGATAAAAGTTAACAAAGCGGGCGAAAAACAAGCCTAACGACCGAGAGACGAGCGCTAATGTGGTGGAAGGTGAGGGGGGAAAATGGCGGATGGCGAGGGAGGGAGGGGGGCGGCCGGGGGATGTGTCGTTAAATCAAAAACCTTGACGACACCCAAGGAAGCTCGAGTCAACATATTTGCAAAGAAGCTCAAACTTGAATACATTTTCAAAATGGTCACGATGCAGTTTTATATTTTAATGTAATGGAAAATCAAGGTTAATCGTCAACATGAGAAAACAAACAAACTAACTAACAAAAACACCAGTTTCATTGACGACTTCATGAAAGCGCTTGCTTTTTCGCACGAAGTAGAGGTTAAAAGAAATGGCAATTAATTGACCCTCAAATAAGATATTTTAAGATCGAAAGGTTAATTACCAACACAATGAAACTCCATTTCATTAGAAGGCGCATAAATAAGCGACTGTTCTCCTTGTTTTGAGTCATCACTTATAAGAATTGATAGATTATCATTTATCTAATATTTTTTAAATTGTTTTTGTCATTACTTTTCGTTATCCCCTCTTTAGTTCTTATTTATTTGCGTTGTTGTACCAAATAATACAAGCCCCAAAATGTTCCTTTATCTTGATTATGTCACTGTATATATTTGTATTCTTGTGTTTTAATACTTAGCTTTTAATATATTTATTTACATTTTGTGTGTGTGTGTGTATATATATATATATCGACACACACCATACACTTTCATTCCCCTTGCGTCTGCGTGCGTGTGTGTGTGTGTGTGTGTGTGTAATTTCATTTGTTTCATTTCATAATACAATGCTTAAAAATTGTCCATTACAATTTATTGAATTATTTAATTTTAATTGTACTTTTCTTTTGTCTTTTATTTAAATGTCTGTTTTATTTGTTGCATTTTTTTCCTTTATTTGTGTTATTTGACTTCATTTACTTTTAAGAATGTATTCATTATTTTCTTAATACCTTTGGTCCAACTAACATGGCAGCTGCTGTCACATGATGACAGACGAACAATTGTTCAGAGACATGCACTGGAGCAATGAGCCAACATGCTGCTTCACATCGTCGAAACACAAAGACATTATTTTCAGCATTTGTATTTTCACTACAATTGTATTTATTGATGTCGTTTTTATTTTTTTAGGCATCTAAAATATCATATGGAATTGACAGCAAATTGCATATTTCCAAGCATTTTCCACGTCAAAAAATGTGATTTTATATTACTCTAATTTCACATATACTGGTCCATCTTACAGCGCTTTCTGTGTGATTGATGGAGGCGGCTCTTTCATGGTCAGACATGAAAGCGTCTGAGATCCGGCCAAGCGTATTTAAATGTCATCGTGTACATTTGTAAAGTGAGATCATGTGTGCTGAGCAAAAGATGAAAATACATGAAATCTGGCATTTGCTGCCATCGGAGGCAGCTGGAGATGTTGGAAAAAAAAATCACAAAAAATAACTTGGCCACTTCACATCATAAAACGGTCATTTACCCGTGGCATATGAACCAGAATATTATTTTCTTTATAATTACAAGCTTGTAAGCGGGAGGACAGCCACAAAATAAAATGGACTGTTTGAACTTTTTAATTACAGAAATTAGGCCAGCAGCTTGTGTTCAAGAAAAAAAAAAAGGACTATTAAAACACTTCTTATTCCAGTTATTTCACATGCAATGACTAAGGACAAAAATGGAGGCAATATAACGTTGCCTCTTTGTCGGACTCCAATTTAGTAGCAATGAGACAATCTCTAGGGGGAGGTTGTTTTGGGAAGACCCCTGCAAATTGGTTAAAATTGCCCTAAAATTGACGCTTTGAGTCAAAATGGCTGACTCGCTGTCTCTTTTGACTGTTTTTCGTGAGTCCGTCTCATGATCGACATGCATACCAAATTTCATGATGCTATGTACAACTGGCTGTTTCATTTTTTTTTTTTTATATGCATTCATTTCATTTCATGTAATTAATATTTATTAATATTTCCAGGGAGCTTTAGCAATGTTGCAGTTAAAACAAGGTTAGGGTCTTAACTTGCGATATGAAATTCGGGTCAGAGTTTTAAGACAAACTTGGGGTTTAAGAATAGTTTTTCAATTACGGTAAGGAAGGTAGAGTTTCGAGTCAGTGTCTCAAGCCAGGGTTAGGGTGACAAGCGAGGACTTTGGTTTCAAAGCACAGGGTAGATTCGCAAGTCAGAACTAGTATTTAAAAGTAGGGTTTTAGGACAGTGTGAGGATTTCAAGCCAGCATTGGGGTTTGAAAATAGGGTTTTAAGACACGGAGGCTTTCATTGTCACTTTTCAAGGTCGGATTAGGGTTTTAACTTTGTTTTAAACCAGCATTTCAAACCTGGGTTAAGGTTTTAAGTCAGAACTAATGTTTTAAATACAAGGTTAGGGTTTTACACTTGGGTTAGGTGTTTTAAGTAGTGTCTTAAGACTTTGAGGGTTTGAAAATAAGGTTTATAGATAGTATTTCAAGCATGGGTTAGGGTTTCAAACCAGAATTACTATATCCATTTTTTTTTCAAGAAAGCGTTAACATTTCAAAACAGGGTGGAGATTTTCAAAGTCGTCTTCCAATAAAGCTTAAAGAAAAAGTCCGACTGTATATGCTGAGAAACCTTGGATTAATAACAATCACGGCATAGAACGTCTTGAGAGTGAATGAGATTGTGTTTGCTGTCATGTCTTATGTCGTCAATCTGATCAATGACATCATTGATTGACCGGCAAATTATGACATTATAACAGATCGATTATGCATTAATGCAAAGTATCTGCTTATCCGATCCAGCCAATCAGAGCGGTGTCAAGTCTAGTTCTAAGTTAGGATTTCAAACCATCGTTATGGTTTCAAGCCTAGGTTTCAAAGTAAGGTTTTAAGACAGGCTTTTAAAGTACGCGTCCACGCCAAGGTGTGAAGTTAGGGTCTCAAGCGTGATAAAAGATCATTCACTTGGGGTGTCTCTGACCTGGCCTGCTGTACTCGGCGCTCTCCTGGCGCACAGTCTCCTTGAGGCGTCCGCCGAAGAGCATGCGCGCCGGGTCATGCTCAAAGGCCTGGAGTGTCTCGCTGGAGCTGTATGACTTCTGGGTGGGTACGCGGCAGGATGGTGCTGTGGCGTCGCGGGCGCCTCCCTCACGCTCCGACGTGTAACGATACTCGCGTTCGATTTCTCCACCTCTCTCACGGTGCTCCCGCTGGCTCTTGGAGAGCGAGCAGAACGGCTGCTGCTCCCTCACCCGTTCCATGCTGCTTGCATGCCTTCACCTATAGCCCACTTTTCTGCACTTTTTGTCACCTTACAATGGTCCCCGCTTGGCCCCGCGTTCTCACTCCATTCGGTCCACCTACAGAGGGAAGTCAAGACAGGAAGTAATAAGTTCGAATGAGGTTTATCCGCTTCTAAGCATCACGCAAAGCTCTCAACCTTGAAGCCTCTCTTGACTTTGAAACCTCATTTCAACCATCAAACTTCCTCTGCCCTGATTGTTTTGGTCACTCTAATTGAAGTCCAATTGAGATTGACTTTTGAGAGATTTGTTCCAGACTAAATTACACATATTTGGAGATAATTGCTTCAATCGTGCAGACGATGTCGTACTGAATGGAGGAGCCACAGCGTTTTTTTTTTTTTGGTTTTTGTTTTTGTTTTTCATCATTTCAGTTTTCCTGATTTTTTTTGGGGGGGGGGTATGGCTAAAATGGCGGCAGGTGACACACTTCAGAGTCCGGCATGCGTTGCCATGCCTCACTTCATCTGCACATGAGCGCCTTTGTTTGTGCCGTGCAGTTTGTGAGCTACACCCTGAAATCTTATATATATATATATATATATATACACACACACACACACACACACAGGCGCTCGTCAAAACATTTGAATATCATGAAAAATTTGGCTTATTTCAGTCATACTATTCAAAAAGTGAAACTGGTGTTCAGCATACATTCATTCCACACACACTGATACATTTCAAGTGTTAATTCCTTTTTAATGTAGATGATTATATCTGAAAACTAATTAAAAAAAAAAAACAATTTCACTCTCTTAGAAAAATTAGAATAATAAAATAAGACTAGACAAAGAGAAAGGTTTTAGAAATGTTGGCCAACTGAAAAGTATGACCATGAAATGTATGTACATGTATAGCACTCAAGACTTAGTTGGGGCTCCTTTTGCCTGAATTACTGCAGCAATCCAACGTGACATGGAGTCGATCAGTGTGTGGCACTGCTCAGGTGTGATGAGAGGCCAGGTTGCTCCGATAGTGGCCTTCAGGCCTTCTGCTTTGCTGAGTCCGGCATATCTTCACAATACCCCGTCGATTTTCGATGGGGTTAAGGTCGGGCGAGTTTGCTGGCCACTCAAGAACAGCAATTCCATGGTCCTTACACCAGGTACTGATAGCTTTGGCACTGTGTGCAGGTGCCAAGTCCTCTTGGAAAATGAAATCTGCATCTCCATAAAACTGGTCAGCAGCAGGAAGCATGAAGTGCTCTAAAATTTCCTGGTAGACGGCCGCATTGACCTTGGACTTTAGGAAACACAAAGGACCAACACCAGAAGATGACATGGCACCTCAAAACATGACTGACTGGAGTTTTGACACTAGACCTCAAGCGATGTTGGGTCTGTGACTCCCCTCGCTTCCTCCAGACTCTGGGACCAAAGGAAATGCAAAAATGACTTTGGACCACTCAGCAGCAGTCCGGTCCTTTTTGTCTTTAGCCCAGGCGAGATGCTTCTGACGCTGTTTGTTGTTCAAGAGTGCCTTGACACAAGGAATGCGACAGCTGAAACTCACATATGATTTTCAAAACATTCAAATTTTCTGAGTTAGTGAATTTGTGTGTGTGTGGGGGGAGGGGTTATTTATTTATTTATTTATTTTCATTCATGAGTTTTTTGAGGTGCACCGAATGGATTCTGTGTTGCAAGCAAAAATTAAAGCTATGAGTGACCTTCCCATGCATGGTTGCTCTGAAGTGAGGCGGAAAAAAACTGAGCTATTAAGGTATGGCGATGCCCTTGTATGTAGGCAAAAAAAAGCCACAGTCGCCAATACACTTTCAACCCATTACTAAATGGGACAAACAGTCAAACACACAAAATGAGAACACTCACAAGGAGCTGGAGTCACAAGGAGATGGCCGACTCCACTCCAACTCCTGACGTCATTCACTCGGCCAAGCCCCTGAAAGGCACACAGCCAACACATGAATACGACAGTAAATTATACCTCATGAAAATGGTGATGGTCTTTGGGGGTTGGAATGACTGAATGACAGAATAGTTCATTTGAGCTGGGAATTGTTTTGATACACAAGGTGCAAGGAATAAATTTAAAAAACCTTCTGAAATCTCAAAAGAGTAGTCAATGAAAAATGTGGAATAAAGGGAATGAGAATGTGACTAATCCGTGGTTAAAAAAAAAGACAAAAAAAAACCTTGGTTGGAATGTGAAGCCCGAGTCTGTCAGGACTGTTTTATTACCGTGCTCAAACACACACACACACACACACACACACACACACACACACACACACACACACACACACACACACACACACACACACACACACACACTTTTATTTCTCCCTTGGCTGCGCTACGAGAGCAGGCTATGGACTCCCGCTTTGCCCCCCCCGAATGAGCTCTACTTGGTTTCACTTCAAGCATGGACGCCTCCCAATGACACGGCACTAGCTCGGACCACTCTGACGGCGACGTACACCGCTGGGACACTGCCGGAAAAAACGCAGTGACACGAGTTGTAGCCGAAATGAATACCAGCCCCGTCTTATTCTTTTTGTATAATGCTGCATCCTAATGAAAGACAAGACAAACACGCACACACACACACACGCACACACGCACACACACACACACACACACACACACACACACACACACACACACACACACACACTTAACTGGAGTTATATTTGTGTTATAACCCGCAAGAAGCCCTTGAGTGACCAGGCGTGTAAAGTACACAAATTCCCAGCATGCTTTGCTTCACACATACAGCCACGTGGGAGTGCTACCCGCTGGTTTTGCGTCGCTGCGCAAAGGTCACGGAAGCTCTCGGGAGAAGACTATTGTTCGTCCCTCCGTAGGGCCCCCAAAAAAGAGACTATGTACTCGTTTGACCTTAAAACAAAAGCCTCACTGACTTTATGATACGACAGCAAGATGGAATAAGGAGCGAAAGAGAGCATCGCTGTTGTTGCTATGGCGACATGAGAAACTAGAAACGCAGCTGTTTCGCGCTGACCTCACGCCACTTTAGCACGATTGCTTCAGGTTGTTAATTTTGATATATTTACCATGGAGGACTGGTGAGATTTTTATTCTGCATATTTATTTATCAATTTGTGGATTGTATACATTTTTGTCAGTTTTACAAAACAACACTAATTATAATTCTTAATTAAGAGGGTTTTGGTCAAATTGTTTTCATTCTTAAAAAAAAAAAAAATCTATCAAAACATTTCTACCCCTCATAATTGCTTTACTGTGGCAAATGCACTAGTGTCCATTTTAGAAAGCTCAAATATTGTAGAAAATTTGGAAAATAACATTCTGTCTATGGAAAGTTAATTTTAATCTATTTCTTTAAATCATTTATTATTTGTAAAAAAAATCTACCCCCTATTACTGTTTTATTATGTCAAATATACAAGTATAGATTTTTGTCAGTTTTAGAAAACAAAAAAAAAGATTGTATTTTACGTGACTGAAAGGTCATTTTTGGCAGGTTTTTCTTCCTAAAGAGGGCTGGATTTTTTTTTTTTTTATTCATTCATCATACCACAATTATTCACCATTGATTAAGTTTTTCAGAACTTCATAATTGTTTTAGTAAGGCAAATTTAATGTTTTATTGCTTTTTGTCAAAAAAATAGTGAGCTGAGAAATTCATATCACTTTTCTGGAAGGCAAATTTCCTCTCATCTTTCAATTAGGTTTTTCAACCCACCACTATTATTTTACAGTATATGGCAATTGTAAACCTGATTTGTCATTTTTAGAAAATACCATTTAAAAAAATAATGTTACCTGAAGGTTATTGTAGTTTCAGAAAACATGCATTCAAGGTATGTCGTCCCATTATAAAACAATCAGAAGTAGAACACAATTTTAAAATTAAAGAATTAATTAAGAATAGTGAATGTTATGATTTGTTGGAATTATTTATAAATATAGCCAACACATGATTTTTTTTTTTCATGAAATTGGGCTAGTTAGTCCCACAACATAGCATTAGAGTTACATATTGTTTAGGGTGGGCTTAAAATATTTAATATATGTGTGGGGAAATCATTTAAAACATATTTGAAAAGAATCACAAAAATAGGCCATCAGAATAAGATTTATACAACAAGAGGGTTAAATATCGCCTTAAAGGGTCAACATATGTATTATACCATGTAAAAAAAAAAAAAAAAAATTAAAAATGGACTCACAGCCTAACAGGAGTTATAGCCAATATCCAGTGCAGATATCACGGAGAAGCCTGCTGTTAAACAAAGTCCCTTATGATTGTTTTAAGACTGCAAAGGATTCCAGTGAAGGGTTGCGTATGTAAAAGGATAAAAAGACAGCGGGTCTGGGTTGATTGAGAAAAAAAAATAAGTAAAACCTTCCTCTCATTTTCCCCAGATGAGCACCGGCACAAATATTTTAAGAACCAGAGTAGAAAGTGCTGTGCCGATGCCGACTGATTACGTTTGAAGATTTTTGGAAGTCAGTCATGAATTCTTAACCAAAATCTGTGTTGTATTTTTCAGTTTTCCGTTACACTCCAACATCCCCCACGCCTCCATCACACACACACACACACACACACACACACACACACACACACACACACACACACACACACACACACTGCCCTTCACCGCCCTCCTCCTCTTATGTCTTGCCTTTGATCGTGCACTTGAATCGGAGCAGGCAGCCACCCGTGAAGTCACCACGGATCAGTGGCCGAAATTAGTGTCACAGCGCGAAGGAAAGAGACACTTGGTGATCTATGGAACACCACACACTTCACAATGACTCCCATGCTAGCCTTGCCACCCCACCATCGTGTGTACTAAACTATATTTAAGGACCGACGTGTCTGAGTCAATTGGCACTTTGAGGCCACTTTGGGGCGTAGTGGCAGTAGCACTATAGGCAAAACCTCTCAAAACATCTAAAAACAAAAAGAGAGACTTCTACAAGTAAGGGCAGCTAATGCTACATGCTAGCACAGCACCTGTATAGTAATAAAAATGGTAGCTACTACTTCAACCGAATACGGACCATTTCTCAATATGAAGAACGCAGAGTATGGTCTCG